CAGCGCCATGGCTAACTAGCGGGGGGGACCTTGGCCACGTATTTGAACCTGTTTTCTCAACTAAAAAAGGGAATAATGATACTTCCCAGAGTTCTTTAAGCAGCCAACAAAATATGAAAGAAAACTGCCTGGCACAGTTCCTGGCACAAAGTAAGCTTGAAATAAAAGAATGAGCTAAACAGATAACTTAGGCTTCTCTGTTAGTCCCCTTCTCCTGTAATAAGAAATAGCTTTGGGGACACCCGCGTGGCTCAGTGTTTGAGTGTCTGCCTTCGGCTCAGGGTGTGATCCTGGGGTCCTGGGATCGAGTCCCGCATCAGGCTCCCCGCCTGCTTCTCCTTCTACCTGTGTCTCTGCCTCTCTGACACAGAGATTTAAAAATCCCTAAAGATTTTTTAAAATCTTTAAGAAAAAGCAAGCAAGCAAGCAAGCAAGCTTTGGTTTTCTGTCTCAGCACTATCTGATTTGTCCTTTCCCTGGGAAGCCATAGACATCCTCCAAATTCTGACTTCACAGGGAAAGAGCTCATGGGGACGGTACGGGTTTAAGAAGCAGTAAGGCTGGGACGATGACCAGATTCTCAAATCAACTTATTTCCAATTCCTGACATTTAAGAAGGGTAACTGTTTAGCTAAACCACAATTTCATGCCTGTAACCCAGACTCCCTTCTGACACCCTTTCCCTGCATGCCTTTAAACGTGGCCAAAAGCCATCTCTCACTCAGCCTTTGAATTAGCTTAAAAGGTCCTCCTAATCATGTCTAAAAATGACTTTTGAAGGTGGCAAAGGCCCACACTCTGCCAGGACATCTTCTCCTTTGATACACCCATTATGGGAGCGACATGGTAATGCTTTAGGATCGGACAGGGATTGGAGCCTGATGGAGGGGCAGGCTGCGATGATCTGTAGAAGCTCCTGGTCAGTCCCACAGGATGCTAAGATACTGAGAACCAGTTCTAGTGGGTAGGAGGCTGAGGCTGATGGGTGGGACGAACTCTTGGGTCTCAGCCTAAAAATGGGCCAACACCGAAACTCCCCAAGACGCCATAGCCCTTTGCCTGTCCGACAGCACTTGCTGGGGCTGAGGGAGGGAGGTGTGGGGTGGGGCTAGTCTTCTCGGCTGTTCTTATCTGTGCAGGCAGGCAGGCAGGTGACTGAGTGGGCTCCTTGCCATCACTCCCTTCCCTGGGGAGGCTCCACTGCTCAGTGTAAGATTCCAGATCCCAGACGCCGACCCTCATCTGGCACCAGCACCATCATGTTCTGAAGCTGGGGCAAGACATTGGCTGCTGGCCTAGCCCTTCCTGTGCCTTGGCATGACCCATGAGCAGCCCCTCTTCATACATCCATGAACCAGGATGTGTGTGGGAGCCTGAGGAGCAAAGTCCAAGGGGCGGCATCTTCCTCAGGCCGCAGGCTGTGTCCACAGTGTACTGGAACCTCAGGTCCAGGCTACACTGGGGAGGCAGAGAGCCTCCCCTTCTCTCTCCTACTGCCCGGCTCCATTTCTCTGAAGGGAATGCAGCTCTTTCCAGACTTCTTCCTCCCATGATCGCCAGTGGGGGCACTTCTACCAGAAGGAAACCAAGGGGCCCACTGGTCCTCTGTCTGAGCCAGTCATGGCTCCAATTCTCTCCTGAGACAGATTTCTGTCACTTCTTCGAGAGGAAGCCACTCCCTCTCACCACGAGACCTTCCAAACCCCAACAGTATTCCAGAGCTGTAGCTGGTATCAATCTGTGAGACTTGATCCCAACCTTGATAGGCAACAGCTCACTGTGAGCAAAAAGACAGAAAAAGAGATGCCCTGGGGCCAACCAGGTGTCCCCCTGGGGCCAGATTCCCAGTGTTTTCCTGTTTCTTCGCTCCCTCTCCAGCTGTCTGTCAGACTCTGGTCTAGTCCTCTGTCTATTTTTGATCTGGGAGCAGGAGCCTCCCCCTCCTTGGCTGGGGTGCCCCCGTGTCTGGTGACCTCATACCTGCCCAGGTGTTCACGCTCCTGGAGAGAGATGCTCTATAAGGTACAAAGTGCAGAGACCCCAGGCCAACCTGAATCATGGCTTGCACCCGGGTCATCGTGTGGAAAGATGGGCCGACTTGGGGGCCACAGGACTTGTGGACCTGAGTGTGGGACCCAGTGCAAGAGCACACAAAGTGTGCTCCCTCTTTCCCCCACTCAAACTGTTCTAGTAAATCAATTGAGGAGGAGTCCCCCAAGGGCCCAGGACTGGAAATTCATGGGGAAAGTGCTGTTTGTGAAGAAAGAGGAGAATTATTGTGGGCTGGGGGCTGGGGATAAGACCCCAAAGAGACCAAATTTCCACCAAGAGGATCCTGGACTGAGACCCTAGAGAGGGACCCTCCCTCACAGACCCATGGCCGGGCCCACACTGAAAGACCCCACACGATGACCTCATATTGAAAAGCCCGAGAAGACTCAGCAAGGAGAGCCCTAAAATGGAGAGGGATCCACAGAAAGTCCCAAGCTGAGAGGTCCCTTTGAGATGCCACTAAAGGGGAACCAGACACCACTGAGGCTGAGCCTGAGAGAGCTCACAGGGTGGTGAGGGTGCAGGCATACTGAAGAAGTGGGCTGGGGAGGGAAATGTAGACAAGTGAGTCAGGTAACCTACCCCAGGCGGATGGGAACCCTACCTTGGGTTTAGCTCAATCTCCCCTTTCACATTTGGAACCCCTGCCTCCCGGAGGGAGAGACGGTGAGGGAGGTGTCAGCCTGGAGCTTCCTCCAAGGCCAGGGTAAGGGGGGCTTGGCCCTCTCCCTGCCCTCCTCTCTGCCAGATGCTCTTAGCCCCTTAGGCATTTCCCTGCTGGGTCCCAGCTGTCCCACCTCCTCCCACCTCCCCCAGAGCAGCAGCCTGCGTAGACAATGGAGTGGAAAACCCCTAGGAAGTCTCTGATCTTGTCACTAAAGAACTTCCCACTGAGGCCCACCTTTCTGAGGCCTTGTTCCCATTCCTGCCTAGGGATTCTTGATGGGAAGTGAAGTGGGGAGAGCAGGGAAACTGCCCCCAGGAATGCCCAGCTCCATAGTGGTGCCACAGGGTCTGGAAACACTTTCTCCAGATATTGGATGACACCCAGTTGGATGCTTCCTTTGGCCTCACCTGGCCCTTCCTGGCACATCCTAGCACCTGGGGATCCAAACAGAGTCAACATCTCTGTGGTAGCCTGACTTCATTCAACCCTGCCAGGATCCTGTCAGGGAATGGTGGACCCTGGGTCTCTCCACGCACCTGCTGTTGTCTGTTTTCAGGATGAGTGGGTCCCAGGAAAAGCCAAAGCCTCTAGACTGCTCTGCTCCTTGGGGTCGGTCAGGAAAACTGCCTCTCCTCACTCTTCCTCCCTACTCCTCCAGAAAGGAGAGCAGGTACGGAATTCCCACCAACAGCCCTGCAATCCTAAATAAAAGTCACGTGGTGCTGCCCTCCCTCTCTGAGAGGCACATTGCTGGTTTGAAGTGGCCAAATCAGTTTTAGCCTTCTACCTTGAGTCTGTTCTCCACTCAAACCCTTGGACCTCTGAGAAGGCCCACCCTAGGGCACCTGGGTGGTTCAGTGGTTGAGTGTCTACCTTTGGCTTAGGTCGTGATCCCGGGGTCCTGGGATCAAGTCCCACATCAGGCTCACTGTGGGGAGCCTGCTTCTCCCTCTGCCTGTGTCTTTGCCTCTCTCTCTCTCTCTCTCTGTGTCTCTCATGAATAAATAAAATCTTAAAAAAAAAAAAGAAGAAGAAGAAGAAGGCCCACTCTAACACCAAGCATGACCATTCAGGATTAGTAGCCCCTGCCCCAGCCCTTCTGCCAAAGGAAGGACCACCAGGGTGAATGGAGGGGAATCGGTTCACATCATGCCCACCTACCATTCACATAGGGGATACTGACTCCTGGGAGAACATTTCCATCTCCTAGCTTCCTTCCACTGAGGAAAGGGGGGCTTGGTATCTGAATCCATGGCACGTGGAACACGGAGAGTGCACTTCTCCCCACCCCCTCTGAGACAGATATTGGAAGCACCTATCCCACAGGGCCATGGGCCTGCGGCTCCTCCTTCGGGGTCCCACAGAGCTCCTGACCCGCACCAGAGCACGGCTTCCCCAGCACCCACGGTATCCACAGAGCCTGTGGGTGGACACACCTTCACACATGGGGTCTGCTCCACCTCCCCCACCCCACACACACAAGAGGACAGTAGACTCCCCTCTGCTACACGGGGACACGCTGTCACAAGCCCTAATCCATACATACATGTGTGGCATGGCACCTGCCCTGGGGTGTGCCTCTGTGACTGCCAGCCCCCCCCAGACCTTACAAATGCCCACTTTGCCTCCACTTCACATTAAAGGACGGAGACACAAAACACGTAACATGTGGGTACAAGTATTTTCCTCACTTATGCACTCCCAGGTCCACACCCCTGGCTGAGCGAGTGAGTGAGCCACCCTTCTGCAAGCAGTGAACAGAGCAACTTCAGCCCGACTCCAGGGCTGCGCAGACCCGGTCCCACTCCTCTGCCCGCTCCAGATTGGAGGCTTCAGAAACCCTCCCACCCCGCGCCGCGCCGGGGAGTCCCCACCTCCATTCTTCTCCAGCCCCCCCAACCCCCCCCCCATCCGCCTCCCCACGCCGGCCCCCGGGGACCCGCTATCCACACTGCCATCTCCTGGTCGTGGAGACATGGACCCCCCCAACGGTGCGTCCCTCCTTCGCCCCCTCGCCCCTCCGCTGACACCTGTCAGCGCTCGCTCCGCCCGCCGCTCACCTGTGTGCATGGGTTCCAGATTGACCATCCTGCCCCAGGCGGGGCCAAAGGCAGCGCCCCCCCAGGCCCCTCGCGTCTGCCCCGGCCGGGCCCCCGGGGAAGCCAGGGTCTCTCCTCCGCCCCCGCCGCCGCCGTGGAAGCCGCCGCCGCTGTCGCGCGCTCCGCTGCTCCCGCCCGGGCAGCGCTCGGCTCGGCCGGGATTGCCACACGCCCAGGTGAGCACGCGGCGCGGCGCGGGGCGGGGGCCGCCGGCCACGCCCCCTGGCAGGGCCCCCGCGCCTGGCCCCGGGCCCATGCAAACCCGTGATTTGCATGCGCGGAGCTGGGGACCTGGGGAGGGGGCGGGCTGCGGCTGCGGCGGGTCCCCGACCCTGCGCAACACCTGTCCGCCCGCCCGGCCCGCAGCCCCTCCCTGCCGCGCCCGCAGCGACCCAGACGCCTGGGCCCGCTCGCCCTTGTTAGGAACCCGCGATGGATGATCCGGCCGGGGCGAGCTGCTGTCTGGACAGGCTCCCAGAGGGTAAGCCCTGCAAGGAGTCTAGAGTGTTTAGAAAAGCCGTGGGGGTGTTCCGGAAAGACTCTGGCCTTGGAATCCTATCTCTCAACGGCTTTCCAGCTGTGAGACAAGAGACAAGGCTCTTCAAGGCTCTTCGCCTTCCTGCACCCATTTGACTCGTCTGCAGAACAGGCGGGGGGCTCGCCAAAACGGGCATCTATCTATGTGCAATTTAGCAGCGGGCTAAAATTCACCTAGGTCCCATACACGCTCACCACATCCAGGGAGTTAGTCGGGGCCCAGCTCATTACCCCATTTTCCTGGGGAAGACCTTGCCCCCTGCCTGTCCTCCAGGTCCCACGTGGCTCTGAGGTTCTATGAGAAGATGATGTGAAAGTTATTTGCCAGTGTCAGGGATTGGGGGGACGGCCACCTGCCTCATCGACAGAGCTGGGAAAGGATTCGCCAAGGGCACACAATTCCCTAGTGATAGAGCCTGGCTCAGTCAGGTCCCTGGACTCCTGCTCCAGTGCTCTTTGTAGAACCCATTGTAGTCTCATCATCTAAGCTCCCTCCACTCTTCTCTTCCGTTCATTAGGTCCCAGGGAGTGGTGCCAAGGCAAAGGGACCACCTGTCTGTAAGCCCAGAAAGCCAGTTGCTGACAGGAGCCCAGGACCTTGCCATCCTCTCCAGACAGGTGTCCCTACCAACCTACCTCTCCCTTCTTCTTAGTCTCTAGGACTGTTTCCTGCTCACAGAACAGGTCCTGAGCTTTTCTGCCTCCCTGCCTTGTTCACCGGGTTCCTTCCATCTGCTATGTTACCCACCGCCCACCCCAGTGATCCCTGTTATAACATCCAGCAATTACTGAGCTCTCGTTCGGTGCCAGGCGCTGTGCTAACCAACACTTTAAAGGCTCTGATCTTGTCTCGTCCTCATAACAACTCGCAAATGGGACTCTTATTGTTTCCATTTAACAGGTGGGGAAAATGAGGCTTTGAGAGTGGAACTTGCCGGTGTTGCACAGCCAGTAAGTATCAGGGCTCCTGTTCTGAAGCACTGCACGCTACTCCTTCTGCACAGTTTAAATGCCACCTCCCTTCTGAAGTTGGATGTGATCTGATCTTTTATTAAATTAGCGTAATACTTCAATGTGCTTCATAGCCCTTGTGGCGGGTTCTGGGGGACTTTTCTTCTCCTACCTCCTGGTCTTAACTGATTGGCTGCCTCCAGGGCGCCGAGTACCCTGCGGGGGGGGGGGGGGGGCTGGGACACACAGGCTCCAGGGAGGGCTCCAGTGGGTGCCACAGAGGCCCTGAAGGAAAAGGAAGTGCTCAAGAGGACCTACATGCTCAGGTTCATACAAATCACCCTTCCCCAGTCACATCTTCTTCTTCCACTCTTAACAAGAGGGAAGAGGACTTCCTTCCTGATTCTTTGGCTGGGGGAAGAGATCAGTAAAGGCTTCTTGGAGACCTACTGGGCCCAGGGACCCCTTTCAGGACACTGCTAACCTGTCTCTTCCTTCCCTCCCTCCCCTTCCCTCCTCCACTCAGAGTCTGGCTCCTTTCTTATCTACAACTGTAGTCCGCCTACCATCATGCTAGAAAAATGCCTGCACATAGTTTATATACCCCTGTGTGCTTGCGATTTCCATATGTCAATATGCATAGCATCTGTGTGGCTGCGTACACCGAGGGTCTGATTCTCTGACCACCACATCTGGGACCCGCTGTTTCTTGTTTCCATGTGCAGTTACCTTTCTTCTCTGGGCTTTGGTTTTCCAGAAGCGATAGTGGGGGGTGGGGGACAGGCAGGAAGCCCAGGGCGTATGACTAATGGTTTCCAAGGGCCTTGGAGCTCCAGCAGGCTAGGATTCTGGGGCCCTGGGTTTGAGGCGGGAGTGGAGCTTTGGGGGATGGCGAACCACTGTGGCAGAGGTGGGACCTCGGAGGTTCACAGTTGGAAGCACAGCTTTGGATTCCAGACAGGCGGTGGGAGGATGGGAGGGTGAGGGGGTGGGGGTGGGGCGAGGGTGACAGACGTTACCTCACCTGCATCCCTGTGCTCATTTATTCAATAAATATTGAGTGCTTCCTATCTGCCAAGAGAGGTGCTACAGGCTGGGCATGCACCTTCTCATTTACTCGGCACAACTTTAGAAGGAAGGCACAATACTGAGGCTTCTTTTAGAGATGAGGTTCAGGGAGGTTAATGCAGCTAGTAGATGGCAGAGTTGGGATTTAGAGCAAGTCTGCCTGACGCCAAAGCTGGTGCTTTTAATCCTGCAGTGTCCCTACCTGTGCCTCCCCTTCTCTTCTGTGATCCTGTCCCTCTAGGCAGAAGGAATCTAGATTATCTTTCCTATGAGGAACCCAGTCCCAGGAACCCAGGCCCGCAGAGGGGGTGGGACTTGCCCAAGGTCACAGGGCAAGTAGACAAGTCACAGAAGAACAGAGACCTTTCCCTTCTCACTCCTCCTTCATATGCTCTTCCGGGACCCTCCAAGGTTGGGTGGGTTTGCGGCATGCAGATATGGGGCCCGGGGCAAAGCTGGATGTCTCTATTCCTTCCCTCTCTGACTTTTTGATGATCATCTCCATTAGGTGAACTGAGTGGGGGTGCATAGGACCTCTTTAGCCCTGCCTCTTTCCCAGAACTCAGAGAATCTCCAGGAAACCAGCTTTTTGAGTTCTGGGCAGATGGGAGATCCCGGAGAAGTTGCCACCCACCCTGGGCCTCATATTCCATGTGTCTGTTTGGCTTGGGAGAGGAGAAGCTGTGGGGAAGAGAAGAGAGATAGTAGGTTGCCTGGAGGTTAAAAAGGAACAGAGGAAAGAAAGGGAAAAAGAAGCAAGGACAGGAAATTTCATTGCCTTTGGACATCAAAAGAGGTATATGCAAATTACATGCAAATTGATGCAAATCAGCACACCCTGCTTCCCTACCCCTCCCCTTTCTCAACAGCTGGAGGACTTTTTCAGAGAGTAGCCAAAACCTCACTCCAGGAGACTGCAGTTCCCCAAACTGATCAACTCTGACTCTACCCCAGGTCCTCCTGGTCTTCCTGGGGTGACATCGGATTCCCTTTGCTGCACCTCTTGGAAGTCACTAGCACCCTGGGCCCCATTTCTATTTGAGCATGCACTCTGCTTCTTTTGCCTCAAAGGACAGAAGAAGGCTCTAGGAGTCTAGCCTCCCCTGTCAGACACATTGCTGGACTGGGGATGCACGGGGGATGGGGATGCTGGATTGGTATTGCACTATCTCCCGTTCAGAGAAGGCACTTGGGGGAGGGAGGTGGGGGCCTCCCAGCCCCCCAACCCCCCTGGCCCTGCTCTCCGCCTCAGCAGAGAAGTGGCCTTTTTTGGCCGTGCGCCCTGTTGCTCATTCACATTTCCTGTCATGTCAGCTGGATTGAGTTGTCAGGGCTGGGAGAAGGGTGGGGAGCGAGGCGTCCTGGAAGGCCACCAAACAACAAGTCCCTTCTAGCTCCTTCTGTCTGCCAGATGGGCTGTAGGGCCCAGAGCGTGGGGGTACGGGTGGGGGTCAGCTCCCTGCCTTGGGGCAACCACAGGGAGTGGAATGGATCCCAGCTCAGGCTTCCCAAAAGAGCAGATGGAAGGAAAAGCAGAGGCCAAGAAGAACTTACAGGCCTCTTTTAAAATCACACCTCAGAGGTAATCTGATGGCACCGCTGCCAGGAGGAGTATTGCAGAATGGGGGTGGAGGGAGTTAGTGTTGGGTGACAAAGTGAGAGGTGCTCTGGGAACCAGGACAAGGGAGTCAGGACCCTGAGCTCTTCCCTGCTCCTGATAATCCCAATGCCGAGTCCCCAGCCCCCACACCCGCTCCACCCGGTACCCAGCCTTCGCTCACCTCTAGAGGGAGGAGTACACACAAATGTACAGCCCACTTGGCACTTGAAGATTCTGAAAAATAGTAATGATACGGATTTGATTCTAAAACAGCATAACAACTGACTTCCAGTGAGCTTTGTTGATCTTGGGGACTGCATTGGGCCCGGGTCTGGCCACTCTGATCACACCTTCCGCAGATCCCTGCCTCCGTCCTTTTCCAGACTCTCCAGGTCTACCTTAGACGAGGTGAGCCGCCAGGTCCGCCCGCTCGCTCAGGGCAAGTCTAAGGCCGGCGCGCCCTCTTGCGGTGATGGGGGCGTGTGACCTCCGCTTGAGCATCATCCTTGCAACACGTGCCCATCCATGGCCGGGGACCTACACACAGGTGAGGGCCCCAGTTCCAGGCCAGTTGAAGACGCTGAATCTTGGTTTCAGAGTGCTGTTGGGTCTTTGGTCCGTGATCCCCGTGGAACCTCAGTTGGCCAGCCTTAGCCCAATCAATGCAAGGACAGGAGTCCCAGGCCTTGTCCGGTGGCCGTCCTGTCACTGGACAGCTCTGCTGGTTAAAATGTCATACCTCCCTGAGCGCCTGGGTGGCTCAGTGGTTGAGCGCCTTCGGCTCAGGTTGTGATCCCGGGATCCTGGGATAAGGTGCTGCATCAGGCTTCCTGGAGGGAGCCTGCCTCTCCCTCTACCTATGTCGCTGCCTCTCTCTGTGTGTCTTTCATGAATAAATAAATAAAATCTTTTTTTTTAAATGTCCTACTTCCCATAGTGCCCTCTGGGGCTTCTGAACTACATGCAATCCTATACCCCGACACACAGGTCAGTGGCCATTTGCCCGTTCGCCCATTCAGAGCATGTACTGAGTACCCACTGGTGCTGTGTGTTAAGCTAGGGGCTAGAAACAGTCTGGAGACCAGACACTGTCCCTGTCTCAGGAAGTGCAGTCTGTGATGCTTGTGGAGCAGGGAAACAGGTAGGGCAAGGCCTACTGGGGCATATCCTCTAACAGAAAAGTGGAGGGTGCTAAGGGGGCCTGCGATGGGGCACGACCTACCCGAATCTGGGGGTGGGCACCAGGAAAAGCTTCTCAGAGGAACAGACATCTAAGCTGGGACCCCCAGCAGAGAGGAAGGAAGTGGGAAGTGGGAACGGGTGTCAGCAGTACCCGCAAAGAAAGTTAACCAGAATAGCAGGTGCATGGAGCCCCGGAGTCCCCCCGGCAGGAGAGGCTGGCTGCGTCACTGAGCAAGGGAGTGGGAAAACACGAGTGAGTGAGAGTGAGGATGTGTGTACAAGGAAGCCCAACTGAGGTGGGAGTGGTTCACCGGTGTCAGTAACACGCGCCTTGCCACTGATTGCAGCATAGCCTTGATCGCGACAGTGAGGTTGGGAATTGCCAAGGAGGAGGAGGACTCTGGCGAGAAGCTTGATGGAAGAAACAGGGAGAAATAGGGCGAGGTGGAGAGAGCCCTGGGTACGAGAGGCTAGTTATTTTGTTTTTGAGGTGGGAAAGATTTAAATACCCTGATGGGAACCAGGCAGGAAAGAGAAATGGGAGAGAGAGGGGATAGTTTCTCCAGGGAGAAGAGGAAGGGGGTGGGATTCAGAGCCCTGGGGTCAGGAGACAGGGGGCACCTCCCACAGGAAGGTTCCGGCAGGAAGGGGTCAGGAAAGACATGGGCATGCAGGCCCAGGAGAGATGTGGCGGTCTGTGCCCACTGCCCGTGATGTAGGTGACGAGGGAGCCGTGAGTGCAGCGTCACCTCATCCTGCCTCTCCCTGCTGGAGAGTCAGGACTTTCCCTGGGCACGACACACAGCTGGAGACAGGGCCGAGGCAGACACCACCTCTGCTGGGGTTGGGGGCTAAGGTAGCTTGTGACTCACCCTCCCTCCCTCGCTCCACCTGAAGCCCCTTGAGGCCGGGCTCTTCTCCAAGGAGAAGGTATGTCCCGAGGCCCTGCCCTGTGAGCCTGTGTTTGCCACCACCCTTTGGCTTTTTTCCTGCCCACCGTCCATTCTTCTGGGTCCCCAGCTGGGACTGCTGTTGTTAGCAGTCAGGGTCTCTGCAGGGATGGGGCGGGGGAATCAATGCAACAACGCGGAGTGCCTTTAATGAAGGTCCTGCCTACTCACAGGTGTGAGCAGGGTTAAGGGAACCAGGGAGCTGGGACACTGGGGCTGGGGCTGAAGAGGCAGGAGGAAGAAATGGTTGCCTAGGAGCCCAAGGAGGTCTGGAGCTTGGAGGAAGAAGCCAGTGCAGAGGTGTGGTCCAGAAGCAGCAAGGAGCAGGGACATATGCCTGGAATTCCCTCTCGTCCTGCCCTCTGGTCTCTTGTGCTTCTCACTGGCTAAGCCAGAGGTGAAGGAGCCCAGGTGAGGCCGATTCACGGGTGTGTGTCCTGAGGCACAGAGCGGGGCAGGGGAGGGGAGGGGATGAATGGCGTGGGGGTGGCGGGGCAGACAAGAATGACCAGCTGTTACCTGGCTATAGTCAATAGTTGATATCTGGGAGGAAACCTCAGAATGCTTTATTTAATGTTTCTCAAGGTCAAAATGGCCAACATCGTAGGTTAAGATCAACGATCGCAGGTGTGATGGTTAATTTTACACATCAGTTTGGCTAGGCCATGGTGCCTGGTTGTTTGGTCTAATGTGAGTCCAGATGTTCCTGTGAAGGTATCCTTGTGGATGTGATTAACATCTACAATCAGTTGGCTTTAGAGAGATTATTACCCTCCGTAGTGTGGGTGGGCCTCAGCCAATCAGTTGAAGGCCTTAAGAGTAAAAAGTGAGGTTTCCCCAAGAAGGAATTCTGCTTCAAGACTGTAACAGAAATCCTGCCTGAATTTCCAGACAGTTGACCTGCCCTGCAGATTTCAGACTCAAGATGGCAACATCAACTTTTGCCCAACCTGCCTGCGGCCAGCATTTTGGACTCGCTAGACCCCACAATCATATAACACCTTGCTATAAATCTCTTTCTCTGTATCCTATTGGTTCTCTTTCTCTAGAGAACCCCAACCGATGCAGCAGGAATGTGGGGAAACAGGCCTCTCCTATACTTGGTGGTGAGGGTGTAAATTGGGACAGCCCCGTCTGGAGGGCAATCTGTTCAGTCTCCACCAAATACTGGGCTTTGTGGTGCTCCATTTTTACCATTTCTCTACAGCATGGCTTGGAAGAGCAAGTCATGGAAGCTCAATTGTCCCCCAGGAGCCAAATGCCTCACAATTGGAGGTCCAATGCCAGCCAGCAATTCCACACTGATTGTAGTCAGGAAGTGCTTTGAGATGACCGCCTCTTAGCAGATGGGGACCTGGGGGCTTGCGACGGGGGAGGGGGGTGACCCACCCCAGATTGCACACAGCTCAGACGAGGCTGGTACCCACATTCCTCACAGCTTTGCTTCTTGGGAGTGTCCTTGCTCTCCTTTTTACTAGACTCCTCGTTGGCTCTACCTACCACATCTAAGTTCCTTGAAGACAAGACGTTCATTGACTAAGATTGAAGGGAGAAGAGCCTGAAGAAAACCCACAGAACGTACAGCAAGGCCCAGCTCAGGTTGGGGTGATCCTGCCAGGGGGTACCTGGTACCATTTGCAGCTCCTCTGGCTTGAAGAGGCTCCAATGAAGACTAGGGTCCTGGCCTCCCACCCAGAGCCCTCCTTACCTTGGCAAAGGGGACCAGTCAGGAGCCCCAACTCTAGTGGCAGGGCATCTGTGGGCCCACCCCCATATATTCAGTGATTGCTACTGCAGGACTGGCCCCCCGTGGGTGCTGCATACCTCGCACTGCGGCCCCACTCCCCACCCCGTAGGTGAGGTGCGCTGAGGTTCCAGAAGGTCACTCTGATAAACCCGCTGGGTTAGTAGGTATGCAAGGAGTTAGAAGGGTGAAGGTCGGATCCCAGCTGTGCTCTAACTAGCTGTCTGACCTTGGGCAAGTCACATCATTTTATTGGTGAGCCACATCCATAAAATGTCACACGATTGCTACAATGAGCCAAGAGCTAATTGATAGGAAGGCACTTTGTAAGCTCTAAAGCACCAGAGGAAATGAGCATTCATTGTAGGTGCGTTACCCGACCCCCCACCCTGAGGATTTGCACAGGTGCACAAAGGACTCGAGGAAAGTAAAGCCTTATCTGGAGGTTTCTCAAACAGCTGACCCTGGACATCCGTGAGCTGAGCTCCCACGTGATTCTGACCCTCACCAGAGAAGTGACTGTAGTCGTGGCACCTGACCGAGGGAGTGGGGAGGTACGGAGGGTTGCTTGGAATGAGGGGAAGTATGGGCTTTGCCTGACCGTAGTGTTGACCCGAAGTCTCAGGGAATCTTAATTCTCCTGCCCATGCTCTAAGACCGAGCAAGGAGGGGCCCCAGGCAGGGTAGTCTGTAGTGACAGGGTCCAGAAGCCCCCTCACTGCAGGGGACTGGCAGGCTTGGGGTTGCTAGTCATTCGTAAGGAAGACTAGAAAAGCAGTCTTTATTTTTTAAAAAACAGCCTTATTTTTGGCTATTTTAAAGTGAGTAGAAAAGGTATATGGCCCAGGAACCCCACCCCCAGCATTATAATAAGGCACATATATGGGGTGGGAGGTGCCTTCCCCAAGTAATCTCCCCACCCCAACCCAGAGCAGGACTGAGGCCTGGGATTCCATGGCAGGGGAAGTAGGAAAGGGCCGGGGAGGAATACCTCCCTCCCTGGCTCCCCAGCACAGCTGAAGCTGGTCCTTGCAAACCGGTTTCGGAAAGAGGCATATCGTCCCAGTAAAGGAGGTCTCCCCACCCATTCCAAGCAAGCCTGGCTCCCATCACATCCCTCTGGCCTGTAGAGCTTCAAGGAGGAGCAGCAGCCTGTTCTGAGGAGCAAAGTTGGGGGGGGGGTGCTGTCCTGAAACCTGTTGCCCTTTCCTAGGCTGATGAGGAAGGAGCTGCCTCTCCTGTCTCCTCCTTCCTACAGAGTAGGGGGGACCCCTGGAGCTTTCCCACCCCCCCTGGGAACACCCCTGTCTCCTCCCCCTCGCCCTATGCAGACCATCCCTCAGCTTCAACTGGTGCCCCACCTAGCCCAGGAGACCTCTCCCGAGAAATTCGGCCTCCACATCCCTCCTTCCCGGGAAGCCCTCCAGCACCCAGCTTGGCACCTCCTCTTACAGCCTCTTTATACCAGAAAGTACTTTTGATGCGAAGGGGCCTCCAGGAGGTCTAGCGTAAGCCGTCTCAGGTCTATGGCTGAGGAAGTGTCTGCCCTTTTTGCTAATGCTAATGATACTAATAACGGCGACTGCAGCGAGCGCTCACTATGTGCTGGGTGCTTCATAGTATGAAGCTACGTAAGGCCATTTCAGGGCTAAGAGAGCCGAGACACAGAGAGGTAAAGGAACGCGGCCCAAGACTGCACAGCAAAGCCGCAGCAGCAAGGCGAGGATTTGAACCCTGGAGGTCTGGTTCTGGAGTTTCTTATTTCTTGCCTTCACCTATCTTCTGCTACTGCTGTCCGGCTTGCTCATCTGTGCACGTCTCCTCTTAAGCGCAGTAGTTTTAACTTATCCTTCTCTAGAATGCGCCCCCAATCCCTGCCTGGCAGGTGCTTCAGGAGGGGTCCCAAGCCCGGTCGCCGGTAAACGGGACACTTCTCCTGACACCAGGTGGCAGCATTGGCCAAGAGTTCTCTCAGAACTCCGAGTCGCGAGCTGTCAGTCAAATAAAAATTTAAAATTTTATTTCTGGTACAAATGATAAATACTTTGCATTAAAAATCTGGAATTCAAGTTTTCCTCATACTCCATGCTTCCTCGCTGCCCCAGAACCTTTACAAAAATATTTCCGTTGATTAGGGGGAAAGGCGGGCGCCTGGTCTCCCCGCAGAGTCTGGGTCTGGGGAAAGGCACGTGTGGTTTGTGTGGGGGCTGGGAGGTCCTCACCTGTCCCGCCCTTGGGGGTCGGGAGGACAGGAATGCTTGTGATCTGGTGCAGGGGCTCTGGCAGTGATCCCCGACAGCCCCCTCTCCGGGGGCAGGGATCCCCTCCTTGTTGGGCATTTGATGGTGCAGAGGGGCCAGCTCCTTCCAGATGGGCGAGTGGGGGTGTGTGGGGGGGGAGGGCGGTGTAACAGGCACCGACACCAACTAAACCTTTTAGCATCTAAACCTTCAGAGTTAAATAGAATCACGGGCCATCACATTTTGGTTGCTTGAGAGAGAATACTTCGGGGTAGATTAAGGGGGGGGGCGAGTCTGGAGAACCCCCCTCCCTGTCCCCAAGGGAGGCACAGGGTGGGAGTGGGGGCTGCCTTCATGAGTTAACCCTTGCCCTGCCACACCCCTTTTCACAGTCTTGCATGATGGGGCCAGAGGCTCCGGGATCAAGGGAGAAGGGAAGTAAGGCCTCAGTTGGGGGGCTGCCCCCTCTAGTGGCTGGGGGAAGAGCGGTGGGCCCAGAGCAGCTACCTCAGAGACCACCCCCCTTCGCCCCAGCCCAGCTAGGGGTCCTCATCCCAGAGGCACAGCTGCCGCTGGGGCACGTAGAAGTCAAAACTGTAGTTCTTCTGGCAGCTACGGATGCCGCACTTGTAGGGGGTGGGCCGGTCGCGGCTGTGGCAGTACTTGAGCATGCAGGGGTACCAGGCCAGGCTCAGGCCGTAGCGGCACACGCAGGGCCTCCCGCTGTCCGCCACCTGCCCGCAGCGCGGCAGCAGCACCTGCTCGGAAGCCTCGGGCAGAGGCTCAAACACCGAGCTGTCCACACCTGGGGAAGACAGGCAAGGGTCAGCAGAGGGAAAAGAGGGAGCCCCCTGCCCCCACATGGCCTCTTGGGGTATCCCGTCGACCCTAGGAGCTAAGTATTATCATTCCTGTTCTATTAGATGAGACACCCGGCCTGGAGAGGTTTAATCTCACTGAGGTCACAGAGTTAGGAGTGGGGTGAGAACGGAACTCAGGGCTGTCTGACTTCCAGTCTCCACTCGGCCACGCTCAGCCCGATGTTTAAAAACCTTGCTACACTAGAATGCGATGGAATAGAGACGAGGCGAGAATGAGTAGAAAATCAAGGAGAGGGCAGCCGGGGTGGCTCAGCGGTTTAGCGCCGCCTTCAGCCCAGGGTGTGATCCTGGAGACCTGGGATCGAGTCCCACGTCGGGCTCCCTACATGGAGCCTGCTGCTCCCTCTGCCTGTGTCTCTGCCTCTCTCTCATTCTGTGTGTCTTTCATGACTAAATAAAATCTTTTTTAAAAAATCAAGGAGAGCTTCTTCGAGGAAGGGGTATCTGAGGAGGGCTGACACGGACATGCCAGGCGGTCAGCATGGCCAGCGCACACACAGGGTTGCTTGAGGGACATGGCAGGAACCTGGCCCCTGGCTCGGCTCTGTGGCCACGGGTAGGACCGGCCTCTGGGGGGTGCAGCCGGCCGGGGAGGGCTGTGTACGGAGGGCATGACCACAGCTCTGTTGGGCACTTCGAAATCCGGCGGGGCCCTGGGAGGGGCAGGCACTTCTCTAGTGCTCAGTGGGCTGGGCAGAAGGACCAGGAACCTGGACTTGGCACTGCGACATCTCCTTGTGCCCTCTGCATGGAGGACCTAAGGGCAGTCCTGGGAAGGGTATCAGGAGGTGTGCCAGCAGTAAAGCCACCTCGGCAGAAAGGCAGGGAGCTCACAAAGATGAGGGGGGTGGCCCTCAAGGATCTTGGGAGAGAGATGTTGCCACTGGGGAGGGCATGGAAGGAAGGAAAGCTGACTTCTCAGGCGGGGGTGGGGGGGCAGCACAGGTGGGCAGGTAGGAATGGGTCTTTGGGCCCCATCTGGATCCTGCTACCTGGGCCTCCCTCCCATGATCTGTGTTGTCACTAAGGGAAGGAACGAGACAGGCACTGCCCAGGTTATCTCCCTCCACGGGGCCTAGCACGTCACAGTTGTGTGTGTCCCTACCTGGAAGGGGTCGCTTTCACCTGGCTGACTCCTCTCACTGAAAAGCCACACAGGCACCCCTTCTTCCAGGAAGGTTTAGGGGGCCCTCCTCTGAACTCCCACACCTCATTACTCTATCACAGGTGATGTGATGCCACAGTGGGCAGCACCCGGCTGACCTTGCTCCAGCCAGAACCGGACGTCCTCCTGGCGGGTGTAGATGGTATCTGCGGCCTCAGCGCACACATTGCGGAGGTGGGGGCTCAGCAGGCCCCCCTGGCTGAAGTTGACGGCGACATCCATGTGCAGGTGCTCCAGGCCCCGCACCTCCTCGGCCTGCCGCACTGCCCGTGGATTCTTCTGTGTGGAGAAAAGACATTCCCACCTGGCCTCAGAAGGCTCCCTGCCCATTCCTTGCCTGATGGCTGAGTGTCAAACTGAGGCTGGTTGCCTTTAGAGCCTTGGGGCAGGCTGGCAGTCAAGGGCGCCTAGCATCCCCTCTAGCTGATGGAGAAACAAATGCTCAGGGCACAGCCAGGCCTTTCCAACTGGCCACTGGTTGACATCTGGGGCTGATACATAATACTGGTAGTGGCCGGGGGGTGGCGTTGGTGGGCAGCCAGAAGGGGAAGGGCCTAGAGCAGACCCTACTGGAGAGGTTAGGGAACTCAGCTGAGGCTGGGGAGAGGCCCAAGGTCCAGGAAGTGATGGGGCGTGGACCAACAGGCTGAAGCGTCTGCACACTACACGCATCAGCTCATTTAATTCTCAGTGGAACTCATTTCCCAAAAGAAAACAGAAGCTTTGCAGGTGAGGTTGCTCGTGCAATGTCACCTGGATAAGGAGTGGTGGCTGAAGGCAGATCTGAAGCCCCCAGCCTCCACCATACAGGGGGAGGAGCTGAGATTAGGGGACTGTGCAGATTAGCGATCTGGGGTTAGAGAGTTAGGTTTGGCCTGGGGCAAAATCAAGGGGATTGGGACTATAGGGTGAGAGTGGGGTAGGTAGCAGGGATGAGGACCAGGGTGGGTCAGGTGCTGGGTGGGAGACTGAGGATGGGGGGGTGGGGTCCAGGCTTGGGGTCACGATGGCTGCAGGGAATGGGGCCTCCAGAGCAGGAGCTGGGCCAGGGCAGGCCCGAGGCGGGCACTCACCTGTCGAAGCTTAGCCATGGCCTCACTGGGGATGATCTCATTGTGGTGCAGCCGGGTGACAAAGCAGAGTGCCTGGAACTGACTCTGCCCCTTCTCCAGCTCCCCCAGGATCAGGGCTCGGAAAATCTTCACATCCTGATGGGAAAGGGCAGGAGGACAGGGATGGGCTGGGGTGGGTGCAGCGCGCTCCCAGCCCACCCAGGGCTCAGCTCAGGCCTCGCACAGGACACCTGCCTGGGCCCTGCCCTGCAATGGACATTTCCCTCCTGCTGATCTAGGACTTTTTTATCTTTTCCATTTAAACCTGTGACTTAAAAGAAAGAACACACCCCAGATGTTCCAAAGCCTCCTGGAAAATTCACATAGTGAACCACTAAAAAGCTTTTCAAAACAGAGCTGTATTTAAAAGCACAGAACTTCACCTTAAAAGAAACAGCACCCTTTTTTGGTGCCTGGTTCATTCATAGCTGATGCTGCCCCGCGGTGGCACCCCTGTGTCACCCAGGTTGGGGGAGGTCACCACCTCGATAACTACCTAAACCAGGGCATAATAGGGGAGGGGCTGAACTTTTTACTAGTATAGATTCCAGAGTTTCTCTCACAGATATTCTTACTTGGTAGGTTTGGGGGAAAGCCCAGAAATTGGTGCTTTCCAAAATGACCCAGGGCTTCCCATCATCCGGACTCCTGGCATGGGCACAGGATGGGGTTAAGGGCAGACACGGCACAAGCTGGCCACAGCTGTTGCCATTCTGGCCCAAGGAAGCTGGGACGGTTCACCCTTCTCTTCCCTTCCCATCTCCACTTCCCCTTTCCCCATGGGGTTACTAATGGCATTGCCAGGAGGCCAATGGCTCCTTCCCATTACTCATTCATTGCATGAATGGAAGTCAGCAGAGGGCAAAGGGAGAGGGGGCACCTGCAAGGCAGGATGGGGTCCCTCTCCCAATCTGGCTGCTGGAACCCTGTGCCCTGACCCACCTGCACCCAAGGTGCCCCCTTGCTCTCAACCAACTCTGTGCCTTGGCCAACTGCTCCCAGGGAGAAGTTATTAGCAGGGCCTGGTCAGAAATGGTCTAAATCTGTCAAGACGGTGGTCCCCCTGCACCCCTCCTGCCAGGGAGGAAGCTGGACCATAATGAGCATCCCCCTCTAGAGCCCTAGTGGGGGTTGGCACCGAGCATATACAGCCCTGCATAGCTATTCATCTCTCAAAGTATGTGCCCTGGCTTCACCCACTAAGAGCACCGAGAGTACAAGTGCTCTGAAACAGGGCCTGAAGGTCCCCACTTGGGCCCCTGTATGGGCAGCGAGGGGAAGGTGTGCCCCATCTCCGCCACACATTAGCCAGTTCCCAGGCCTATCCTCCAGCTTCTGGAAGTCTCACTTGTAAGATGGGGACCCTAAGGCATCTAGTGGGTTGGGTTGCGGTGAAAACTGAGTGAGGGTGGAGGGCCCAGAAAAAATGCCCACCCCGAGTCAGTGCTTATTAGGTGCTAGAGCTGTGGCCCATCTCCTCCTGGAAGGTGATCAGAGCCAGTGAGTGTTGCCACCCCATAAATCCCCATGCACTTATGAGGTCCCTTGCCTCTACAGGGAAGTTTCTCCTGCTTCCTTTTACTACAGATGATCTCTAGGACAAGGAGGTGTGGGCATGTATGGGAAGATTTTTCCATCAATAGCGCAGAGAGACCGAGGCCCAGCTGGTGAGAATGGCCCGGGAGAGGTTTTTGTTGATGCCAGACTCACGGGGAAGGTGAATCAGAGCTCAGCTTAACCCTAGCTTCCTCTCAACAGGAAATCCGTTCTTGGGCCATGAGGCTGGAATCTCCTTGCCCTGCCAGCCTGGGCCACCCGATTTTCCATTCCCTTGGGTCAGCCAAGGGGAGACTGCCTGGAGGCCGGTCCACTAGCGTATTTTCTACTTGGGGCTCACTTCCTGCCAGGTGAGACCCGATACCAGACTTCCCCTCCTAGGGCTTGAGTCAGCCTGGTGTCCCTGGCTGGACCCCAAGGCAGAGTCCAACATCCACCTCCCGGGTGTCTTCAGCAAGGACTCTGAAAGAACCTTAGCTGGAATATTCACAGCACCTTTTCCAAAGCCACAGCCACATCCCATACCTGTGGTCTGATGGCTGCAGAGTGGTGTATTTGCTCGGAATATCACCTGCCCGTCATTAAGAGATAGCATTTGAACTCTTGGACCAGACTGGAGTCAAAAAAAACCCCAAAATACCTGTTCTGAATTTTTCTCACGACTCTATTATATTAAACAACAACACTGGCAACAACAGCAGAATGATACCAAAATGGGAATCTGGGGGCAAAGAGGGGGAATGAGGATCTCTCGTTGAGATACGTTTCCTCGTGGAGGGGCAGAGATTCATTGAAGTTTGTAACTGGAAGGGACAAGTCATTGTTATTATGAGTCAAAAAGGATGTATTGTCCTATTTAAAATCTTTACAACAACAGGAGGTGGGGAGGATGATTATTACTTAGTTTGGAATGGGTTACTTGCTCAAGGTCATGGGACTAGGAGGAAATGTGGCTGGAATTTTAACCCGGGGCAGTCTGACTCCAAAGCCAGGGCTGTGTCAACCACGATGCATCACTGCCTCCCAAATGTACTTGATGCCTCGCTCCAGAAACCGAGGACCAGAGAGGCAGGGTGGTCTGCCCTTGGCCACTGCTGCCAAGTGGCAGAGCAAGGATCAGAACTCAGTTCTGTTTTCCAGCCATGCCTGAAGTCCTGTGTAGACCTGCCCTAGAAGTGTGGCAGCTCCCGTTCACGGTTCTGCGTGACTAGTAAGAACGAGCGTCTGACACGGACAGGAGGGGTAACACGAGGCAGGCCACCCTTCTAACCCTCCTGCCTGCCTGCCCAGAACCTCTATAGATCCTATTTCTCCAGAGAAACCGTATTCTACTCACTGATCCCTGGGAGGGAGTGGGCACCCCTAGCTTCTGGATCTACTTGGCTCCATCATCCCGACCAGTATCCCTCTTCCCTTCTACCCTCCACACCTGAGACTCACTGGGAAGGTTCCAGGGGCCCCCTCCCCCCAGCACAGAGGAAAGGGCAGGGGGAGAGGTCGCCCCACTTCAGCAAACATCTGGCCAGATGCGAGGCCCAGGCCAAATGGAAGCCCAGCTCCCAAGCTCCCTCCTCGCCCAAGTGCTCTGGGATGATTCAGCCGGATGTGGCCTAATGCCCAAGGCAGATGGCACAGCTGGAGAAGATGTCAAGGTGCTGGAGGCAGGTTCTGCAGGTCCAGGACTCCGGCTAGGACTCCCAGGATGGAAGTTTCTATAAGGCTCCTTCTCACATGAGCTCCCGGGAACCTCCAGCCTATCAGGAGCAGGCCACCAGGAAGACGCAGAGGATTACGGTACCAGGGCTGCCACCTGCGCCATGGAGATCGTGAGCCCCGGCTGAAGTCCTTTGTGGTTTTAAGTAAAGAGCAGGAGTAGACAGGTTGTAGGACAGCAACAGCTCTGGAGTCCTTGCTACCTCCATTCAAATCCCGGCTTTGCTGATACTAGCCATGTCACCTCAGGGGAATTCACCTCCCTGCACCTTAATTTCCACATCTGTTAAATGAGTTAAACTAACAATACCTACACCTCCAGGGATTATCATGAGGAAAAAATGAGTGAAAGGTCTCAGAACATAGTGGGCTGAACCCTTTGTCTATTATTGTTGCAATCTCTGGCCTCATTCCAGCTGTGACCTATTCTAGACCTGCAGAAGCAAGAGCAAAGATTGTTCTCCTAAAGATGCACCTAAGGCCCAGTGAGGCCAGGGGACTCCTCTGGGGCCTGGCTTGCAGGGAGTCAACAAATTGGTGGGAAAGGCTTCGCAGGCACCAGGCTGGGTGGGGGAAATGGCTGAGACCAAGGCCCTGGCCCCTGTCTCCAAGGGGCTCATGGAGAGGCTGACATCCAACAACCCCACAGTGCCCCACAGAAGGCCTAGGGTTGAGGTATGTGGTAAAGGCTATGGGGCAAAGGGTAGATGAAGGGGCATTTGCTGTCCCCTTAAGGGTGGGACTGGAGGCCAGGAGGGAAGGGAGACTTCTTCAGAGTGTGGGACATTTCAGTGGTCAAAGGAAGGGGAATGCTCTCTAGGAGAGAGACAGGAATTTCCAGAAGACAGGGAAACGTGAGGCTCTCATCACACCCCCACCCAATCTATCCCTCCATATTGTCACTGATCTGCCTAATGCCATTCAAAAGCTCCTTTTGCCCTCGCCATCAGGTGTACCCTCCAGAGGCTCCCATCCACCTCCACTGACAGCTTGTCCTGTATTCCCTGAGCATTGAGCTGAGGAGCTCGCAGTTTCCAGAATAGGCGCAGTGAGGCTGATTCCTCTCCTGGAATGCCCTGTCCCCATCTGCCTACCATCTCTCAGGACTCAGTGCCCATGCATCCCCTCCTCTGGCCTGTCTTTCCAATGCTGCCCTCACCAACCGGCCAGCAGACTCAGGCGGCCCCAACTCCTAACCTCTACAGCACAAATCCCATTGTGTTTGCATCTCTCTCTCTCTCTCTCTCTCTCTCTCTCTCTCTCTCTCTCTCTCTCTCTTTTGCCTTAGCTTCCAGACTCAGCTCCTTGAGGCTGGGAAAGTAGCTCATTTGCAGTGCCTCCCCACCCCCTTGAGCACAGCAGGTGCTCAGTGAGTGCCTGGTAATGAGGAAATGAAGGAAGGACTGCACAGACAAGAGCCTGGTTTTCTCAGGGTAGGGTGTGGGAGGGCAGAGTGGTCCAAGGAAGAGGCTGGTAAGAGGGCAGGGCAGCGGGTCTGAGACTCCAGCTGAGGAGCCTGAGCTCATCTAGCAGATCACTGGAAGTCATCGGTGGGTTCTGAGCTGGATCTGAAACTTGCCTTGCACTGGTTCAGTGTGCACGTGATTTAAATGCCTTGAGCGAGGACCCCATCCTCGTGTGGCATCTTCTGCCCAAGTAACAAGTCATCCAGGCCCCCAGTAAGATCTACCCCTGGCTCTAGGGCAGAGACTAGACCTTAGTGATGCAGTGACCTCAGGGTCTGGCATGGAGCTCAACAATAAGCTCAACATTTATTAGCTGAGTGAATGCTCGCATGCCCAGGGGCCTCTATCGACTCCCTCACC